TCCCTCCCTCCCTCCCTCCCTCCGGCCCACAGAGGCCCCCCCCTTCTCTCCGTGCCCTCCCCAGAAGGATGCTCCAGCCTGGTCCTCGGTTGCCCCTGGCAAGCGCAGGAGACCCCGGCTGCAGGGCCCCCCCCCCCGACTCTCCAAAGTCTCCCCGGGGAACTCACAGGAGGCTCGGTCGCCGTTGGTCCGGGGGTTGATCTCCGCTTTGTTCTGCCTGCCCTTGGTCCCTGTGATCTCCTCCATGCGGAAGATCTCGGAGAGGCAAAGCTTTGGGTTGAAAGCAAAGTACATCTTGCCCACGGGGATGGAGAGGGTGTGGTGGCCCCAGTCCCACAGCTGCTGCAGATTGGGGTTGTCCAGCACGTAGAGGGTGTAATTGCTGGGGACAAAGCCGAGCGGAAAGGTGACCACAGCTCCGTGGGGAAGGGCAGGAGGCAGAACCCCCTCCCCTCCCCCCCCCCGGGGAGACCGGAGGAAGGTCACGCCCCGGCATGGCAGGCAGAGATGCCCCTCCCAAGGGGTGGTCTGCACGAGCCCTGCCTAGTTTGGGACACCCGCCTATGTCTGCTGATCCGCATCAGTGCTGCCCGGCTCTTCGTCCTCATCCAGACGTGGCCAAGGACCCTTGCATGGGGGGGGGGGATCACTCACAGGGCTGCCACTTACCCACTGGAGGGGGGAGAACCCCCACCCCACCGCCCCCTGCTGCCCACCTTCATTGTGGGGAAAGACAGGCACCAAAAGGGCATCCCATGAAGTCACGTGACCATTTTTGGTCACATAGCTGGAACTGATGTCACCTTGCTATGAGACACTCTAGAATTTCCCCCAGAGTCTTGGTCAGACCAGGGAGGGTCCCTCTAGTCCAGCATCCGGTCTCACACAGGGCCCTCAACGCGGCCAGCAACAGGGCATTTATTTTTTGTTGCTCGTGATTTACAGTTTGCACTTGCTCAGTTGTGGAAAGACTGTTTGCCTGTACCACTTGTAATTTCACATTGTATTATTAGTCAATAGTGTACTGTGTTTGCAAATATGCACTTTGGTAATTTTACTCTCGTGTGACTCATCTTTAGTGTTTCGTTGCCTTCAACCACCCCTTCCAGAGACGGCTGGGAGTTATGCTGCCTTTCACACCACTCCCTCCTCTCACTCCCCCCCCCAGCCCCGGCCAAAGGGATCAGGGCTCAGCAGTGGCCCCCTCGCCCAGCCAGGCCACCGGCCCGCCCGCCTCCTCTCGGCCCACTCACCCGTCCACCATGGAGTCCCCCCGGATGAGCTTGAGGTTCTTGAAGAAGGACAAGGAGATAAGGGCAAAGGAGTGCTTGATCTTCAGAAACCCAGTGATGGTCTCAATCAGTCCCAGGCTGCCCTGCAGTTCCAAGGCCAGGTTGTCTGCAAGAGGGGAGGGGAGGGGAAGGGCAGTCCGTGAGCGGGTGGGGGGGCCGTGTGTCACACGTGCAGTTTCTGGCCAGCGACTGGCTCAAGGCGCACACGGGCTTGCCTCTGGACCTGGCTACCAGGACTCGTGAGCCACGGCCACTGGCTGCTGACGGGGTGTGGGGAACGTGGACAGAATTCTCTTTGTCCCACCAAGGGATGTTGCTTCCCTGCTCCTCTAAAGGGGGTGAGGGGTTATGACTGTGGGCAGAGTCATTGATGCAGCAAAAGTGCACAAGCTGATTAAAGTGTAGATAGTTTATTTAGGGACTAACATACTTGATAGAAAAGACGAGAGAGAGAGAGAGAGAGAGAGAGAGAGAGAGAGAGAGAGAGAGAATCTGAACTACATCACTAGCT